GCCTGTGCCTACTTCCCTTTATATAGATATTCTTATCCTACACTAGTACTTATGTCTGGTTTTAAGATGCACAGTGAATGGTGATGCAGCTCGCTACGTATCAAACGCAATGCATCCCTTTAGATTTTATAGTTCCCTGTGCCCCAGGTGTTGTTATTATCAGTCCTGACATCATTCATTTGATATGATGGGCCCTGTCTTTCCGTTTATCTGTAATGGACAGGAGACTTTGAATCATTTTATCTTCCAAGCACAGCAAAATCTTTTCTTTAAAAAGTGACTTTTTTCTCTCTCAATTGCTTGTTTTCTTCATTGTCTAATATCTTGTGCATTATATTTATCCCCCAATCTCTTTACTCTGCATCTTCTGTTCCCTTTTGTTTTCTTTTTCCTGTGTATCTGTCTTTTTCCTCTCCCTCTTCCTCCTCCCCTCCCATTTTCGTACCTGTGCAGGGCACTGATCCAGGCTTATTGCAATCAGCTAAAAGGTTTTAATGACCTTATCAAGCCTTAGGTTAGGACTAGGTAGCATCTCTCCATCCATGCATGTGCCTTGTGCAGAATTTAGTGCAGTATCTGATGTTACATTGTCCTCAAAGGCAAGCAGGCTTGAGAGTAAGACAGCAAAGAAAACACATCTTTAGTAAAACTTAATGTCAGGCTTTGAGGTACAAGATTAAAAGCAAGGTCTTTCAAGTGCAAACAGATTTAAAATACAATTCTATCTTAAACCAAACAAGTCTATTCTTTAGCTACTTAACCTCTATCTCATTAACTCCCCGTGAGGTGCTCCTGCCTTCACAGCAAGAGTCTAATGCTTCAGTTAGAAGTGCAGTTACCTCCTGTGGGTTTGGAAGAGGAATCTCAACCTGATCTTTGTGTCTGTGGTGTACCAACTTCAGATGCCAGCTATCCAGTTTTTCATAGAGTAGTTCTACATGACCAGCTGCATTTACGCATCTTTAGAGCTGAAGATAGCACAGGATAGCATAGGAATATTCTTGGTGGCATATAATAATGATATTTGAAGCTAGCACTCACCAACAAGTCCACCTACAGATGAATTTACTCTGCTTGGAACCAGTCACATGAGTTATCTTTTCTCCAGAGACTGGATGGCTTGAATACTTTGGTTTTATTCGTCTTGCTGGGCTATGTGGCACTACTGGAGTACATCTGAAGGACAGACTGGCCAAGTATTTCTTTCTTTGGGCAATAGTAAGTGCTGAACACTTTGCTCTATATCAGCATGACAGTTAGTGTTTTCTGGTCGCATCTGTTTAGAAAAGTTTTGTTGGTGAGGATCAGAGGCTCTCTTCTTCTACCAGCTCCATAGTTTCTCTTGAGTCATCCTACAAACACACAGAGAAACACAATTAGGGTCTACTTGGAGAAGGTCAAATGTTTCATCTCCTGCTGTGCTCCACTTGGTAGCCATGCACTGCCCCGGAGACAGCTAATAGCTATTCCGTAGGCTGATACATGTCAAAAAATGTCCTGGCTGTTCAAAGGTAGACGAGGAGGAAGGGCTATAACAAAAGCATCAGGCTAGTGAACAAGAGAAATGCAGTTTAATTGTTTTGCATATATCTGGGTAATGCATCTGGGTTGAAGATACATAACAAGTAGCAGGATTACAGATAATCTTTACAGAGACAGAGATGGGTTTTTCTTTATTTACTGGAATTCTTTTTGGCAAATGTTTTCATAATTTCCTTTGAGCTGCTACTAGTCACTTCCAAGGTGGCAGGTAGTCTTCTAATGCTGCAAAGGAGAAAAGACATATAAAACATTTAAAGCAAATGTAATAGTTTGGAACTGTGTTGTAAGAAATGCCTTTGATTTGAGCAGTGAATTTCATTAAATCCTGTCAAACATTCAAAGCCAGTCTCAGCTTCCCAGTCCCTTTATTTGCTATCAGCACTTGAGATCAGCTTAATATTTTACCTTCACCCTTGGTTACAGAGCATAACGGACAAAACCATTATCTGCGAATGTCATCGCTATTAGGAAAGAGAAGAAAGGAAAGGGATAAGGGGGAACAGGGCTGGCAGGGAGCTGGTATCTGCAAAAGTAAACAGACTTTAACACTATGACAGGAGGAGGGAGAGGGATGGGAAAAATCAGCCTCTCGTAATTTAATTAAAGTTCTGAATTTCCTTAAGAGCTGTGGATACAAGCTGCCAGGCTGAGGGCTAATATTTAAAGGTCATTTAAATGAGTAGAGATGTTAATCGTTGAAGGGACAAAGCTGAACTTTGTCTCCTGGCTCTCGCCTACATGCAGAGATGTTGCCTGCCTTCCCTGCAGTAAATAAGAGCTTTCAAATTATTGTTTTAGGTTGGATTGCACTTACTAAACTAATACCAAGCAAACAGCAGCATCTGTGAACTGCAGGGGGGGATTGGCTTGTCATAAGGTCACCTCTAAGAAAAGTCACAATTTGTACTAGAGCAGCAGAGTTGGTGAATTGTATTATGGACAGAGTGAGACCTGTCGAAAGAGTGAGGGTGCAGTGAGCAGCAGAGATGTTGGCATGCTGTGCGGAAACTGTGCTCATGTATGAGTAATGTGTTGCAGTCCATGGGACACAGCAGAACCATATTCTGCAGTAGGGAACACCGGTGCCTTGTCACACCGCCTACTCGGCTTTAATGTGTGTTCATAGAGCTGATGAGGAGTTTTTCTTATGTGCTTTTCTAACAGATTGTGGGATGTCTTTACATGTTCTGAAGGAATGTGGAAATATTTTACAGAGGTTTTTAGCCTAATAAATAGTGAAATCAAAATTTGAGCTTAGGGTAGGTTTGACGTTAATCTCTGTATTTACTGAATCCTTTTAGGAGTAGTTTTCAGTTGTCATGTTTCTACTCCTTGGTGTGTTTGGCTTTTTATGTTGGACTCTTCCAGTGTGTACCAAGGCATTTTAGTAGAGGGACACATGTAGGTGACTTTGGTAGACACAAACTAGTGCCAATCTCAACAGGAAAGGTAGGGGAAGTAGGTTTGGGATTTTTTTGTAAGCAACAACAATGTTGAAACAGTATTTCTGTAGGTCTGAAACAACAAGACTTTTTCTTCTTGATGTTAAATTGAAGTATGAGAATAAAAGTCCAGCTATCATTCTTTCCTTCAGAATGGAAATTCTGTTGTTGTTTTCAATTAGTGGTGCTCCTTCATATAAGTGTGATAGAGGAAGACATCACATGCTTGTGTCAAGGAAGTGTTTTGGTCTTTTTTTTTTTTTTTTTTTTTTCCACTAGTCACATTGGGGAAAGATGGGTTTCTGAATGCAACTGAATGAATCTTTATGTGGTATTGTACCCCTTGAAAGGAAACCATGTAGGCACACAATTCTTGGCAGAAATACGTCTGCTAATCTCAGTTGAGCAGCTGTTGTCCTGAAAATCAGGAAAGGTGAGCCTAAAGGTAACTATCTGAAGAGCCTTTAAGAAACATAGCAGAAGCTGTCATGTTTTCATGTAGAATTTTTGGCAGAAGCATCACAGCAGCATTTGACAACTTCCCATGTGTTAGCTATTGCTAATGTTTCCGATTTGCCGAATGAGTAACATGGGAACTATGGATTATGAGGAAAGAAGGGAGTTCAGAGAACAGTGAAACCAGAATAAGCTCGGAATGGATCTTGTGATGTTGCCAGAAACCCCAAGATGGCATCAGAGACCTTGTTTTTCTGTATTAAAAATGTATGAAATTTTCTTAGTGACGCTTATTATTTCTTTGTCTTTGGTTCTTAATCAGTTCTCCATTTTTTAATACTTTTTTTTAAAGCATATGACCCTTTTTCTTCAAGCATCATTTGCAAGTCATTGATAATGCTGAAGGTGTTACATGCAACACACCCTAGCTGCAGTGCAAGGCTCTGCCAATACAACGACAAACCGCATCCCCAGGAATATATTCCTACTTCATTTTGTTGTAGGAGGCTGAAACAGCAAAGCTGAATGTAACTCTGTAGCTAGACATTAATCCAACACTTAGAATTTTTGTTCTGAGGGTTTTTTGAAGCACGAGCCAGCCCAAGTTTACAATGCCACCAGAAGCATTCTAGTGCTGAACTGGATAGTATGGAGATGATGAGGACCTACCACAACCTCTCATATGCTGGAGGGCTGATTCCTGAATTTTATCAGCACACCAGGATTTGAAAATTGTGAACCAAATTACAGCAAATCCTTTGAGGAGTGTGAGGAGGCTCTGATTTGCACACAGTCTCTAACAAGGGAGATTAGTTGGATTTTGCAGAGTTGTACGGTAGTGTACCGCTCCATACAGTCAAGTATCCTGCACAATCTTCCACTGATCACTGAGGAACAGAATATGTTCAAGCTAACTACAGGAAATATTTTCTCAGTGCAAATCTGGCATCCTTATTTAGCTTTTTATTCAGCCTTTGCAGTGAAGCTAGGTAATTGTTCTACATAATGATGTAGCATGCATCAAGATCTTTATGTGCTTTAGATAACGGCATTTCTTGCGAGTGGAGAAATTTAAATGAGATATCCAGCTCATCTCATTTAAGTGCATTCATATTTCAGACTGGTCGAAGAGATTCAAGTGCCTGTCTTCAATTAGAATGAGTAGGAGTTGGGTGTGCTTGTTTGCTGTGGAGGTTTTGAGAAGCCTGTGCTCTATGTAAGCTGGGTGAATTTCATAGCACAGAATTTAGAAAATTTCAGAAGACTTTTTGTTTGTAAGTAGTCTTTTCATTTGTACATACTTAGGTAAAGGAAAAATTGCATTTATTTTTAGGTCTGCAACTATGTGAACCTTGGAAGGAAAGGAAATTATAAAATTTATATACTATAAGCACCTTTAAAATATAATATGGACCGTTGGTTCATTCCAGCCCAATGTTCAAAACCTTTTACCTGTATTCTAATTTCCATTCCCTGTCCTTGTGCTAGGGCTTGCCAGAATTGGAAATTTTTTGGCATCAGCTATTGTTTTGCTAGTTTTGTGTTGCTTTCTGATTTCAGCCACCGTTGTTCGTTGAGTGGGGATGATCTGAACAGACAGTGGTTGACACCCAATTCCCAGCTCCATCCAACTATTTACCACGCCAAAGGTCTTCTCTATTACCTGCACAGCACTGGCCGGGCTCCTCTGGTGAGTCTCTTCCAGGATCTTTTGCGAGTTACTGTATACGGATTGTTTACCGTAGTCGTGTGAACAGTCTTGGTTTAGAGCTAGAGTGATTTGGAAATCATTATGTGCTGTTATAATTTCATCTTACAGAATTGTTTTGAAAGTCTTGGAATATTTATTACTTAATGAATCTTCTAACCAACAACTCCAAATTTCAGAATCTCTGCACACCTGGAATATAAATGAGAAAATGAGTTCCTTAAAGCTCTTTAATATCCTCAAAGTACTCCAAATAAGCTAAATATTATCAGTTGGTTATTGCTATTTTCATGATGATGATAGGGGAAATTCCACAAAGATTTAGTCTGAACGGACTGTGCAAAAGCCCACGTTGGAACAACGCATGCAATTGCAAAATCACAGGAAGCAGCCCTCGAAATGTCTGAACTTGTATGCTGCTTTGGTAATGGGAAGAAAATGACTGAGTTTGAGGGGTACCAAAAATTCATGAGAGGTGGAGTCTTGTCTCAAAGCTGCAACTGGGATAGGGCTGGGATCCATCCCATCTGCTCAATCTTGTTGCCCAGCAGAATGAAAAGATAGTTCTGAGAGCTCAGGAGAAAAACCACAGGGAGGTTCAAATGTTAATGAACAGATGTGGATGCACAGTCAGGCAGGAAATGTCCAAAGACACCAAATTCTCTCTGGGTTTGATGAGAAAAGCCCTAGACAAGGTGAAAATGTCTGAGTTTCTTTAAGTGAATTCTAATGGGAATGTGGTTTTTGTCTAAGGCAACAGCCCTGAAATTCAACTCTGCAGCCCAAGGAATATTGTGGAAACTCAACTCACCGTTGTAAATTTACTCACCAACCTTTTCCTTTAGTTCGGAGCAGTGTAGGATCAGTCTTGTTTTACCATGCTGTTTGCTATCTGGCCTTTCTTAATACACAACCATCCTCGTCATATCCAGGTGCATAAAGTTGAACACGTACTCTGCGAATTTTCATCATTGCTGAGTGAAGGGAGACTATTGATCCTATCATCTCCCTCGCTCACAGGCTGCATGCCAGAGTTGGTAAACAGGCAACCCAGCTATCTGACTATCTGATCATCCCTGTGTGGTTTCTGATACAAAAAATAATATTTTAGGCAGATAATATATTATGTCTTTTGTGTGTTGGTAATTCTGTAAATTGGTAGGTAATTGATACCCAATTGAGTTGGGTTCTCTGCCTTGAAATAAGACGAAAGCTACAAAATCCTGTTTGATATTCATAGAAATAAATTCTAGGTGGTACCTGTGGTTAACCTAAACTATGACTGTGTATTGCTGATAGCGTGGATGAAACACTAGCTGGAAAAATGTCTGTCATTAAGAGAACCAATAAATGCAGCTCTTTGGAAGGAGATATTACAGGGTAATTGCATGTCTGTTCAGACAGAGTTACTTCAAATATATGCACACAGCCTCAGGGGGCTGAATCTCTGGGGTCTGTGCAGTGCTGGCTATTTTCCTTTGGGAACAATGCTGGTTGTAGGTTTGCACCAATGAACAGCTCTTAGACTGCCCTGTTTGTCTTCCCCTTTGTGCCTTTGCCAGGTGACAAGGGTGTAAGTAAAGCAGGAGCAGTTGTTACGGGGTAGGACGCAATTCACATGCTGCAGGTGTGGAAAGTGTGCGCTGCGGGGACGGGGATGTGCAGACCCAGAGCCCTGCAAAGAGAGCTGGAAGGGAGCGGTGGTGCAGGAAGGAAAGTTGATAGGTCAGAAACCAAAAGAAGCAGCGATGTATAAGCTATGAGATATGTCTAATTGTCCACCTAATTAGGAGCAGTGAGATGGTTCTTTATGCACATGTGACTTGGCCTCTCCAGTATGTCAACCTACTGTTTGTCAGAGAAGCTGAAAGAAGATAATTAAACTCCCTGACTTGCTGCAGCTAAACTTACTTACTGTAGCTGGTAAATAAACATACTAGGGTAAATCTTGCCCTAACAGTTGGTGGAAGAAGCTCATCTACTCTGTCTGTTTCTCCCCTCTTCTATATGTATTTATGTAAGAATATGTATATTTTTTTTTACCCCATATTTCTCCCCTATCTCTCTTTACACTGATCCATAATTCCCCCTTACCATCCTACACTCTTTTTTTTTTGTCTCCAACATAAGCCTTGGAAAACTGTTTCATTGAAGTCTTGAAGCTCCTTTCTACTCAGTGGTGAATACTGGTTTAAAATGAAGCAATTCCTTCTCTTTAGAAATTCTTGTCTTTTCATTGACAGATTTCTGAATATTCCTGATAAAGACATGGAGAATATATGTAACAGCAGTGTGTGTATTGACTTCATATCTCAGAGGGCACTGGAATTGATTATTCTTTAAGACTTAGGTCAATATTTACCTCTTGGGTCATTAAATCCTGATTTTCATTTCTATACGAGTCGATATCTGCCTATAAAGGCAATCAAAACTTCCTCTGAAACTGGGAATGTGCCTTGTGCCTAGTTTATGTGACAGCTGACATGAGAGATGGATTAGATAGACAGATAGATTAGTGTGGAATGAGCTTATTTGCCATGAAGATAGGTCATGTTCTGTGCTTGGCTTCCAGGAATTCACGCAAAGATCTGGCAGCATTGTGCAATACAATTGCACAATTGTATTTTCCTGAAAATTACGTAGCACAGGTTTTGAATTTAAAGATGACAAAGTGGTGACTAATTGCTTGGGAAAGCACAGATTTCAAATCTTCTGGGGATAAAGCTAGAGTTTAGGAGTTTAGAAGCAGAAAAGAGCCTGACAAATTGCTCTGGTGTTGTATCATAAGTTACCGTGAACAGTTAGGTTCCTGAGTTCCTGTGGGTTCTTGCACAGGTGTCGTGTTTACTTCTGCTGTGGACAGAAATGCACTGGTCTTGACTCTGAATCCCTGAGATCACGTCGGATTGAACAGATAAAACAAGATACAGCTGACTAACAAAGTTTGACACAGGTTATAGGCATGGCCCAGAGTCTAAGCTACTCTGAAGGGACCTCAAAAAAAAAAAAAAAAAAAGTTAACACCTCTCCATAGTTTTATAGTGCTTATTATGAAGAACCAGGAAACTTTTTCAATGTTCAAGATTTTGTCTTTTTTTTTTTCCTCCCCCTCCTCTCCCCAGGTATTCTGTGACTACCACGGACACTCCCAGAAAAAGAACGTGTTTCTTTATGGCTGCAGCATCAAGGAAACCTTGTGGCAAGCAGGCTGCACAGTTGACACAACAGTTATCACAGAAGATGTTGGCTACAGGGTAGGTTTGCTTTGTTCCTTTCTGCAATTATTGGCATGTATGTGCACCTGTACAGCTCGTTAAGATAAGGCCAGCTCACAAATTTTGGAGATTGGTGCAAGCTTCCCTTACTTCTGTGGAGTAATGGTCCAGAGAGTTTCAAATAATGTGTAATATTGTCATGCACCAGATATTAGCAAGAATATTATCAGTAGTTGGGTCCCTATTTATTTCACTTTAGTAAGATGCTGTGTTATATAATGTGGCCACATTTTAATAGAACTGCCCAATTTTTGTGTGGTTTATGATTTCTAAATATACATACACTTTTGTTTTCTTGCTCCACCATAATAAGAAAACAAGTAAGAATTATGTAATTGTAACTGAGAAAATGACAATGTGCCGCTGTCTTAGTTGAATTGCTTCATCGCACAATACTCCTGGTCTCACTGAAAATGCTAGAGAATTCAGCAGGTGTCAAACAGATCTAACATAGTGGGGTTGTAGCTAGGGAAATTCTTCTGGAATTAGAAAGAACAAATACTACAATCTGTTTTATTTCTAATTCATGTGAATGTCTTGTTCATCAAGCTGTTCTGTTCTGCCCGTCTCTCTTTTTTTTTTCTGTTTAGATGATATTTTCCTGTTAAATGACAAAGTTACGTGGAAGAAAAACCCAAACAACTCTAATTATAGTCTTGAAAAAGGTTAATTTTACAAAACATTAATTGTGGCCTTAAACTGATTATAGAGGTATAGCTTGATTCACTCCAACCTGAAAGAGGTTGAAAAGTCTTTTTCAGTTTATGTCTCTCTCTGATTTTCGCTGCTTCAGCACAAATACTAATTATCCTCCCATGAGGATGCCACATCTTTCGTGTTTATCTTACGGCAGTGTGCACAGCGTACTGAAACTTTGCTGGAAGAAAGTGCTCCAGCGTTCGTCATGAGAGGTCCCTGTGGCAAACGTTATTTTACAAAGAAAGCAGGGAGAGGGTGAGGGTACTTACAGTCGGGACATCTTTTCTTGCGTTTGAATTCAGAGGGCTTGAAAAGGCTGAGGATGGTTTGCTGTTACACAAACAGAATTCAAAGGCTGCTTTCAGCATCTGGAGCCTGTCTTGAATCGGTAAGGAAGAAAGGCTCCAAGGCTGTCCAAGAATACTCTGCAGTGGCCTATAAGAAAGATTTTGTGGGTCAAATCCTCTCTTTTGCAAAAAATGAGAGGGGTGCCTGCTGCAGTTCCTGCCTATGGGTCACCCTCTTCCTCCTTCGGCTGGGGAACTGGATACGTAGAAGTACGCACCTGCAATCGCAAACTGCACCAGATAGTCACTACTGTCTCAGATCTGCTTTCTTGCACTGTTTGCACAGGTTTCTCTCCTGCCTTCTGTAGGTAGCTGGGGATTAATCTAGCCTCCACGACTGATTTTTTTTCTCCCCAGGAGCAGGAACCAAATACCTCAAGAAAATGTCGTTTTTGGAACAGCTTTTGCCTCATAGGTCATAGACTCAGCTGTAGCCTTTGGCAATATACAGGAGTAAAAGTCTTCATTACCTTCTAATATTTGGTGGTCTCGGGTGACTTGCGCAGCATTGGCATCGCAAAGCCCAGCTTGAAGATTTGTCCTTTTGATTGCCATTCCAGTCCCCTTTGACAGCAATCTCTGCTGGGACATCAGTACAAAAACATAATTCCATTCTCTTCTAATGGGATTGGAGGTTTATGGACAGGGTCCTGTGTGAGGGGAGTAGCTTCCTTTGCTGTTGCACATGCTAAATCCAGCTGTGTTTAAGAAAGGGAACACAGTCACACTGCTGCAGCATTATCATAAAAGCATCCTTTAAAGGGTGTGTCTCTACCCTTTCAAAATACACTATTGAAAGATAATTCATGAGAAGAATGAGTAGAGAAGAAAGAACCATTAGTGTGAAATCCATTGAACGCTGGTAAAATGAAAAGAATATTAAATTCAGATTTGTTAATGCTCCTAAATGAACCCTGCGTACAGAGACATTACAGTTACCTGCCAGCGTTTTTATTTAATTAAATGTAAAAGATTGATTATGCATATAATTTCAATTGTTTTAAAAAGCTAAACTGGATTAGAGATCTGATTATTGTATTTGATAGTATATATTTACAAAAAAATCTGTGTGTTCATTCAGGTAAGGGCAAAATGAAAACTATCTGAACCTTCACATACAGTTTAACTGGATCTCATGATTGTGCTGAGGCTGATAAATGTCTGGGTGATATGGCTCTGCTGCATTTTTTTAATTCCTGTTCAACCCAAATCCAGGAAAACCTGGAAGCACTGCACGAAAACATACTATTTTGTGATCCCCATGCAGGGAACAGCACTTTGAAGGCAATCCAGAAATGTTGGGTGCTTAGTCTACAGCAAGCAGCAGTCAATTTTAAAGATTCCTGTGTTCCGTATGCCCACGGGAAAGGGAGTAGTGTTGTGGCTCTTAGTAGCACACTGGAGATCTTGACTCAAGAGTGTGGCTTGCAGTGGTCTCAGATTTAAATGGACTCTCTTTCTCCACCTCAGTTTTTTTCATCTGAAAAAATGGATCTTATAGATCTTTAGATCTATACCTTATAAAACTCGTTAAGTCCATTAACAGCTGTAGCCAGAATATACTGAAAAATGAAATTTACTTTTTTTGTTAGAGATGTGTACAGTTAAGCTGTTTGCAGGAGATACTGCAAAATAGTTTAGGCCAAAGATTTATCATTCACATCAAATATATTTTAGGAAAAGACGTTATTCCTTCACTTTCAGTGAAACCAGAAATTCCCTTACAGTGCTATGAAGTAAAGCTCAACAGAACGGAACTACAATCGCTCAGAATTGGTCAGTGAAACTGATTGTTATTGGAAAGTGAAATTAGCTGGTTGGTTTCCACTGCCCAAACTGAATGAAATTCAAGGGTAAATGCCATTAACAATAAGCAGGAATTCCTTCTGTATGATTCCGTTCAGGTCAGATGTTTAAGAAAGCTGTTGTCAAAGAAATAATGAATGTCCTCATTTTGCTTGCTCTTCTCTCGATGGATCAAATGGTCTTTTGGCATGTGTTGTGGTTAGTATACCAGCACTAAAATTAAGCACACGCACGCCCATACATGTGTGTATTTGTGTGTGTGTACCTAAAGGTCCAGTTTCTACAAAAAGCACACCTAGTTTTAATGTATCTAGTATATGTTTTTACAGAGTGTAAAAGTAACAGGTTTAGCACTCTGTAACGACTAAGTAAGTGTTACCTCTGCACTGATGGAAATATCTGATACTGCGGTGTATTAGGAGTGTTTATAGACTTTGTTGTTGGGAAATATGATATCTAGAATAACAAAATTACTCAGGGCTAAGATGTAATTTTTACTGGGTTTTCATGATTACTTTTTATTGTGATTCTCTAAATGAAGTGTATAAAATAATCATTTGGATTCAGATGAGAATATTTTGGTTTGTTTCACAATGCAAGTTTAATGTTGAGCTCTATTTTCATATAATTATATGTGATCTTCAGGGCGAATAGACATCCTCTGTCTCTGCTCTAGGCTAGGCTCAGACAAAACTCCTCCCATAGCTTAATCCCTTGCCAAACTGTGGATGCGTGATGGGAGGAGATATTATATAGCTGGAGAGAGGAGAATGGGGATGTCGGGTACTGAACTATGACTGCAGCCCTCTCGCCAGCACAACAGGAAGCTGTAGGTTAACGTCGAAGCAGCTTGAGAACAAAACTCTGTGACTTCAGCAGTACCAAACGATTGAGTCTGAAAACGTTTGATTTTGAATGCGATATAGCAAGTGTAGTATATGTTTTGCGTTTTAGTCTTTGGGATGAAACAAATGTTAGAATCTGAGGATTTCACATGGGATGGACATAATGCACTGGTTGGAGCTATCTCAGTAACAGTATCTACAGATAGATTTGATGATATATGCATTAAAAACCACAGGTGTCTGTATGCGTGTATGATACAAACACATGCACATCTGTTCAATTCATTTTCTCATCACTGCTGATATTTTCT